CTTAGAATAAAATTCCTGAAAAATCTGGTTGGTCTTATAATCCGAGCTAATAAAAGATTCACGTTTGCATGTCAGATAGTCTTTGACAAACATGGTAGCTGATGTGACAGTCCTTAAATGTTTTTTTTTTTCCTTGCAAAAATTCTTAAAATTTCGCGACGATTTCCAGTATGGTCCATCATCTACTTCTTGAGAAAAAAAAATGTTTAAAAAAATCCACGCTGGTTTATCCAATATAGTCTTTGAATAAATCTCAAAAAAATATGAAAAGGATCTATAAAAAATGCATGTTGATTTATTTTTTAGTCCTTGAGAAAATTTTTCCAAAAAAGTCCTTATTGCTTGATCATTTTTGGAAATAAATTTAAAAAAAATTCGTTGTTGGTCTAAATATTCCTGGGAAAACTCTTTAAAAATATTCGAGTTGGTTGATAAAAGAGTCCTTGAATATATTCCTAAAAAATCACGTTGGTTGGTCTGCGGGCAAATTTCTAAAAAAAACCCTTTTTAAAAAATAAAAATTAGTTGTTTTTTTAAAGTCCTTGAAAAGAAATCCTTAAAAATCAATGTTTGTTGGTCGGAAAAAATATTTAAAAAAATCTCGTTGGGTTTTTAAATGCTTTTTAACCCAAAGTTGATGTATGAAAAAATGCTTAAATCCGTATTGGTCCAAGGATTTTTTTTAATTGACATTAGCTATTGGAAAAAATCTTTAAAAAATCCACATTGTCCTTGGAAAAAAGTTCTTTAGAATACCTGTAAACAACCCTTTAACAACCCTTAAACAATTTTAAACAAAAAAACATAAAAACATTTTTTTTAATTACTTTGAGGCTTTTAGAAAAATTTAATTGGTCCTTTAAAAAAATCTTCAAAGATTTTACCTTTGAAAATAAATTCTTAAAAATTTGGTATCTAAAAAAATATTTTTAAATTTTTGCCATTCTGTCCATTGTTGCTACCCACCCTATAATATTTAATGTTTCTGCTAAAGAATATAAAATCCCGTGGGTATTTCTTAGCCATGTTTTTTTCGCTACTAGCCACATTTATTCTTTAAAGAAAATAAATGACGTATACACCATTACAAGGGTTTACAAGAGTTGCGGTTCATGTAGTTACATGTAGCTGCTTTATAACTCCAAGTACCTCGTGTGGAAACTACTGTAATATGAATCCATAGAAAACACTCAACTCACTCCAACTATTTAGAAGAAATGAAAAAAGACTACAGCAAGGCACGCGAATTTTTATAGTTACGAATTTGGAAGAAAAGGGCAAGAGGAGGGCATATGTGGGAGTTCTGGTGATTGTATAAAAATCACCTCCAACTGTGATTCATACAACAACTACAAGACCACTTTCTCCTTACATCATAGAGTATGTATGTATGTATGCACGTCAGTGTGTCGGTGTGAGTGAGTTTCATGTTAAAACCCGTCTAGATGCGATGGTGGCAAAAATGCTGTTTTGATTAATTATAGCTTCCTCTAAACACGGAACCGCTTTGTTACTCCAAGTCCGGTGCAACAATAACATCAGCAGCCATGGCAGCTACAACAATGATGACGACAATGGAAATAATGGCATTCTAAAGATTCAGTGAAAATTTAAATGTTCTTAGCATGCAACTTGTTGTAAGGATGGAATAAAGAAAGAGAGAGAGAGAGAGAGAGAAAGAGACAGTGAAAGGAACCTCAAGGAACAGGCAACATGCACTCGGACAACAGCAATTTATGGCCATCACTTAAAAAAAAAATGAAGTTAACTCTAAAAAATAATGGCAAAAGAAAGCTGAACAACAAAATATGTGGTTACTCCCATCTTAACAATGTCGAAGAAGACTTTTCTTCCTTTTTTCCCTCAACTTAAATAAGAAATTATCCAAGGAGAGAAAAAAAGTGGTTTTGGGAAAACTCAAGGATTTGTGATAATTTTTTTTGTATTGTTACATATATTTTTTTGAAATTTAATTAACATTGTTTGGTATGTTGTTTTTCCCCGGACATAACTTTTTGACATTCTGTAAAAATTATTTTTCGACTTCGCCTCTGGTGAGCTGCGGGCAAGAGTGATATGAAAATTACAAAAGTACAACCAAGTAATTATTTCCGCAAAATGGAAGCGAAATTAAATTAACATTCTTAAGGGACGATCAAAGGAGGAAATTTGTTTTTTGGAAGAGAAAGGGAAAAATGAAGAAAGAGAAAATATGTTATTCTTAACCACTTTTACCACCAATAAGCTCTCTATGTAACTCTAGGACTTATTCTTTCATATTCAAGTTCAATAAAAGATAAATAGATCTCAATACCAAATTTGAGGATTTAAGCACTATCCCTTCCCCCCAATATTCAAATTAGTACTTTTCGCAAAAATATAGTACACATTTCCAAAAAACCACATCTATTTCTTAACCACAGAGACCTACATTGACCTTAATCTCAAATTTCAGTATTTCAGCATTATTCATTTGTCCAATACCAAATTTAGTACTTCTCGTACAATTATAGTATACATTTCCAAAATAAATCTCCATATCTCAACCCCTTTAAAAACAGAGACCTCAACATAAAATTTCGGAATTTCAGCTCTAACCTTTTACCCAATACCAAATTTAGTACCATGTAGTACTTTTTATACAATTATAGTACACATTTTAAAAACCACCTCCATAACTCAATTCCAGATACCATCTGAGACTTCACTGTAAAATTTCGGGACTCCAGCTCTATTTCTACACCCAATACCAAATCTGGTACCATTTAGTACTTTTCAAACACATATGGTACACATTTCCAAGACCATCTCCATATCTCAATTCCAGATACCAACATCAAAGTTGGAGATTCCCAAATTTCCCAATACCAAATTTAGTACCACTTAGTACTCTTCGTACAAATATGGTGCGCATTTGCAAACCCGTTCCATATCTCTATCCTATCCTCAATCCAACAAAAATCTCAAGATCATATTACGGAATTTCAACTCTAACCCTTTACCCAATACCAAATTTAGAACCATTTAGTACTTTTCGTACAATTATAGTACACATTTCCAAAATAAACCTAAACCAGCTCCATTGGTTCACCTAAATGCAAAGTGTACTAAATTTAGTACCATTTAGTTCACATAAGTACAATTTTCCAAAACTATGTAATAGTAATCATATTTCCAATTTTCAGAATTTCAGCTCTATCGGTTCACCCAAATCGAAATTGTACCAAATTTGGTACCATTTGGTACTTTTCTTGCACATAAGTACCCATTTCGAAAACTTCCTCCATATCCCAAGGGTACACTCTGCCACTAATGGTAATTTCAAATTTTAGGATTCCAGCACCGTCCGTTCCTGCAAATTCAAATTGTACTAAATTTTGTACCCGTTAGTACTTTTCTTATACATGTGTACACACTTCCAAACCTACCTCTTTACATCGACTCTACTCCTCATCCTTGATTTACGATCCAATTTTCAAGTTTTTAGCTTTAACCGTTCACATGAAACAAAATAGTACCAAATGTAGTACATCTTAGTACTTTACGAATTTTTAAAAAACCCTTTGGTACATCTATCCTGCACTTAATCAATGACCTTCATTCCAAATTTGAAAACTGCACCTTCATCCGTTCATTCCAAACCAAACCGTTCCAAAATGAGTACCATTTAGTACAATTTCAATTTTTAGTACATTTTAGTACTTTTCGTACATTTTAAATACGAATTTCCAAAAACCCAGTCTTATAACTCTCCTACGCACCAAGATTGAACTGCAAAAATTCAAGATTCTAGCTTCAGCTGTTTCGCCCCGGGCGCTGATTCTCAGTCAGTTCGTCGGTAGATATCAGCAGTTTGGCCCATAAAATCAATGTCAGATGGTGCGAAAGTCCTTTAAAATAAAATTAGTTAAATTTTTTTTTTCATGTTCGAAAATGCCCTGAAAAATTATTCTATTCTTATTATATTCTACAACGACTGCTAATCCAGTTTTTTTCCAAAAAAAAACCTAATGACTTTCGAATTAACTCTTTTTCCCATGCCAGACATTGCTCTCTTGTGATTTATGATTGCTATTTTTGGGGAAATCACGCCCCTTATGGGCGTAGCCCACAGGATGATGAATAACAAATATTTCATACATTGTAACCCTTTTTCCCTTGTGCATTATGAATTTTTAATAAACTCCAACGAAAATGACGAAACAGAGAAAATCATTAACACCCGTGACTAGTGTGGAACATAACCCTTTCCCAAAAAAATTAAACGAAGAAAAAAACACCATTTGATCCTTAGCCAAAGATCGGCACGTGTAACATGGCACTCCTTGGCTTATTTCATATGCTCGGGCAATGAATAAGGATTTTTTTTCGTTGGCAATCTTTTAAAACGGTACATAAAAACACCCCACCAACAAAAGGGCTATACTTTTATTTTTTTGTTCCACCAAAAAACACCTTTTCCCTGTTTGCCTCACACCCCAATTTCTGCCACCATGAGTGCGTGTCGTTACAGACAATCAAAGGTGAAACTTAAGGGATAATTTTAATTTGATTTGTTAATAACAATAATAAATTTGTTGCATTTCAATGAACTCGGCACCAAAAGGTGGGGTGTAGGAGGTGTTGCCTTCCATTCACTTTCATTTCATGTTACCGATTGAAAAAGAGAAAAAGGGGGAAATCTCTCGTGGAAAAATTGCATGTAAAACGCAGATCACCGTAATATGCAAATATGGTCGGTCATATGAATTACAGAAAATTACAAAAACAACAACAATACTGAAAATAGTCAAAAAGTCGAACAAATGTAACACTGGAACACGTGCTGTTTTTGGATTCAAACTAAGGGCTGTAACTAATCTTAGCACCTGTATCTTTATGCCTTTTTGGAAAAATATTCGAAATTTAAATTGTCAAGTGTTGTGTAAAGGGGGGAAATTTTGAGGTCCTTAAGGCTATATTTTAATAGTACAAAGCATGTGGTTGTAAGGGATACTTACCAGAACTTGCTAGACGACTGCTGGTCGCTCCAAACATTTGATATGGATCTGAAAGGGAAAGAAAAAAAATAGAATCAATTAATTTCATTTTATTTATTTAATGTAAATAATTAATAATTAAAATAATAAATATAATAATAGCAATAACAATAATAATAATAATAATAATAATAATAATAAAAATAATAATAATAATTATAATAATAATAATAATAATAATAATAAAAATAATTATAATAGTAATAAAAATAATAATAATAATAATAATAATAATAATAATAATAATAATAATAATAACAAAAACAATTGTGTAATAAAAATTAATGAAAAATATTGATAATATAAAAATGAACAATAGAAATTGTTATACAATTTTTTTCTTCCTGTTAAATAAATTTCTTTGTTAGTGGTTTGAAACCCCTTAAAAAATAATAAAAATTATCCTCAATTTCTAGCTGGGAAACCCTTTACAAAAACCCCTAAAAATGAAAGGTTTTTTGTCCGAAAATAGTTTATAAAAAATTCTCAATTTAAATATTTAAGATCTTTAAAAAAAAAACAAGTATCCGACGATTCTACTATCAACGCTTCTCATTAATTTATTTCACAAAAATAAATAATACAACCAATATTAAAAAAAAAGAAAATAAAAAAACCCACACAAATCGTCATAAATAAAAAAAATCATTTACAAAAGTCCCGAAAAAAAATTTCAAAAGCCCAACATTTCGATTTAATTTTTTTTTTCGAAATCCATGTTTTGAAAGTCATTCAAAGTAATTTTTTTAAAATGAAATTTTTCTGTTTAATATTCCTTGAAAAAATTCTTAAAAATATTCACGGTTTCTAGTTTGAAAATTCTTCAAAAAATTAAAAAACACGGATTATACTTACTGAAAGTCCTTAGCAATATAATAAAAACAACGTTTGTTTATTAGTGAAGAACAATGGTACTGTTATAGGCAGGGAATACCTAGGTTTGGAAAAAAAACCACCAATCCTCATCAGTTCCCTTGTTTTTTGTCTGGAATATTCTCCCCAGGAGTTATTTTAAAAATAGCACCTCCATTTCCTTGGAAATTTTAGGATTTTTTTTGTACCCTACACCACATAGTGGTAAGGGTATTATATCTTTGTGCATTTCTTTGTAACATGGCGAAGAAAGCGAGATACACCCATAGTTACTCTTGAGGATCTTCATAGAATCACTTTCTGAGTCGATTTACGCATGTTAGTCCTTCTGTCCGACCGCCCATCTGTCTATGTATTTTTGTTAAAAAATTCAGGCTGCATTTATTATCCGATGGAGATGAAATTTTGCAAACAACATTTGTTTGGTCCAAGGACGAACCCTATTGAAATTGGTGAGAGTCGGTTCATATTTAGACATAGCTCCCGCATAAATCTTCAACCGATTTCGGGTTAATTGTGCACCAAATGGACAATATTTGTATATATTGCATTTTGGCACATCCGACCGAATTTAATGTAGAAGCAAGTACATCATCAGCAAATTTGGAGAAAATCGGTTCAGATATAGCTATAGCTCCCATATATATGTTTTATTCGATTTGGGATTTTAAGTCCGTCACATGTGTAATATGCTCTCCACAAGAGTGATATTCGGCACCAGATAACATATGGAGCTCAAAAATACCACTGTCAGAGTTTATCGAGATCGGACCAGATTAGGATATAGTTCCCATATATATACAGGGTGAGATGAAAAAACTGCAACCAACTTCAGACTGCTGTCATTTCTAAGAAACTCGTCCGACAGCTGTTAGAATTATTCCAATGACAGCTCATTATATTGTTGACCAGCGTGAAAAGCATTTTGGTGAGAATTTTCCAGAAAAAAGTTATTCGTGATGGAGTCACGCTTGATCTCCAGTGTGTGGCTGGAAAACCACAAGTGGCTATCATTAGAGCCCTACAGCATTTAAATGTGAATAAATCTTTTGTGTCTCGTACCATCGCTCGTTACCGTGTAACTGGTAGCGTAGCCCGTCGTCAAGGAAGTGGACGGAAGAAAACTGCAACATCAGCAGAAATGGTTCGAAAAGTAGAGAAGCGACTTGATCGAAACCTGCGTCGCATTGGCCGCAATATTCCATTCGGCAAATATTGAAAAATGAGCTCGGGGTAAAGCCATTGAAATTCCAAAAATTGCAAGAACTTACACCGCAACAGAGAGAAAATACTAAAGAATTGATTCGCTTGGCCGAAAGTGGTGAACCGAATTTGGTTTTCTCCAATGAGAAAACAACATTCCTTGTCCAGCTGTTTGTAAACAAGCAAAATAATCGTGTTTTCTTGCCAAAGAGGTCAGCTGGAAATCTGCACCTTCGGTTGGCCAGCAGAACTCAAGCGCCGGCCATGGTGATGGTGTGGACTGCCATAACTGCCAATGGTCGCTCTCCGCTCGTATTAATCGACTGTGGCATCAGAATAAAAGCCGAATATTATCGCGAAAATATTCTGCAGGGTGTATTAAAGTCTTGGGCACGCAAACATTTTGGCCGCAGACCTTGGACATTCCAACAGAACTCAGCACCATCGATCTCAGCACGCGCCACCCAAGGATGGTTACAAAATGAGGTTCCTCGCTTCATTTCCAGTGCACAATGGCCACCAAAATCTCCGGATACCAATCCGTTGGACTATTGGGTCTGGAGTATTTTAAAAAGCAAGGTTGGCACTAAAAACGAAGTGTCGAACACCCCAATCAAGCGCTTCGCCGGAAAGGGGCCAAAATACCGTAGAGAAATATTCGGGCAGAGTGTGACGGTTTCATTGGCCGTTTGAAGGCCATAATTCGTGCCAAAGGTGACCAATTCGAACAAATCTAAACTTATTCTTAAATTTGATGCCATTTCCGGTATTTTTTGGTTTCATCCAAATTTTTTTTGAAAAAAATGTAAAAATTATGGCGTTCGACTTTCTTGCAGTTTTTTATCTCACCCTGTATATGTATATATTTTTTTAAATTTCGAATTTATGCTCTGAAGGCCCTTGAAGAAATACTTATAAAAACCTTATGTATGTTAATCCCTTAATTGGTTTTTATGCATTTAAAAATAAAAATGCCAATATAAAAGTCCTTGAAAATGTATTGTTTTAGAATCCTGGCATAATGGCCTGAAAATTTATTAAAAAATATTATTAAAATCCAAATTGAAAAATATGTTGGTTCTGAAAAAAATAATCTTTTATAATCCGTAATTATAAATCTGTTAATCCTTAAGAAAATATTCCATAAAATACACTTTTAAAGTCTCTTCTCCATTGAAAATTGTCTTAAAAACCATATTTTTGTTGGTACTCAAAACAATCTAAAAATGTCCATGCTCAGTGATATGAAACTTCTTTAAAAAAAATATTTTAAAAATCCACATTTAAAATATCTGAAAGCCCTTGAAAGTACTCCTCAAATTTCCACGATTATTAAATTGTTAGTCATTATAAACATTTATTAAAAAATCAAATTCAAAAAAATATTCCTAAAAATTCCATGGCTATTGATCTGTGGCAGACAGATTGATGTGGTAGTCCTTAAAAATATTTTCCTAAGTATCCAGGTTCTTCGTATGTTGGTGATTGAAACAATATTCACAAAAATCCAGGTTTGTCGACATATTGGCTCTAAAAGAAAATATTCTTAAAAATCCACGATTTATGGTCCGTTAAACCTTGAAAAATATCCTTTAAGTATTCATGTCAATTGGTTCTTAGGAAATTTATTAAAAATTTGTAGAAGATGTTGGTCTATTGGTCCCTGATTTGTTTTTAAAAAAATGTAAGTCTATTAGTTTGCTGATCCTTGGTAAAATATTCTTAAAAATCTATGATTAGTTATTTTTTTGATCCTTGCAAGACTTTTAAAAATAGTAGTACAAATTCATTAACATTTCGGTTCTTAAAAATCTTTAAAAATTATGTTTGATAATCTTTTGATCCTCAATCGAACATATATTTAAAAAAAAACCTTTAAGGATTCATGTCAATTGGTTCTTTTTAAAAGATGTTGGTCTATTGGTACCTGATTTTTTTTAAATTAATTTTATTATTTTGCTAACCCTTGAAAAAATATTCCTAAAAATCTAGGATTATTAATTGTTGATCCTTGCAAGACTTTTGAAAAATGGTACCACAAATTCTTCGGTCTTTAAAAAATTCTCATTAAAATTAGGTTTGATAATCTTTCGATCCTTAATCAAAGATTCTCAAAGAAATATTTAAAAAAGTCCACTTTTCTTGCCCCTTTAGGTCTTCAAAAATATTTTGAAGGTTCCCCATGTTCATCCTGTTGATCCTTGTAATAATATCCCTCAAGAATTGTTGTGAATTGAAAAAAAAACTTGATATTCAGCTTCAAGTCTCCATATCAGACACATTTCTGAAATTGTTTGCATCTCACACCATCACATCAGCTTTTTTTGTCCAAATGGCAATTTCAAACAGCCGCTCACAAGTGGCACTTGAAAAGAAACAAATACGAGTACTTTAAATACCCATTCGTTGTGGTTGTTGTTCTTGGTATAGACGATGAAGACGACGACGACAACAACGACAGTGACTGTAAATACCATGACGAGGATAACAATTGAGGACGAACGACGCTGAGGACAATTCCAAAAACACTTGAAACGCATTTGCGGCAATGACACATTTAACCAAAAGCGAAAAGGAGTTTCAATTTTCAATTCCAACTCTCAGGGAACAGAAAAAAATATGGGAAGGAGTTCCATACGAAAGGGAAGGGTATATAAAAAAAACACTTCCAAAGTGGGAGATCTGCGTACAAAAAAATGAAAATACTTTCAACGCCAGGCCTGGCTATAAATGTCCTTGTTTTTTTTTTTTTTGGACGACTCGCAATGTAAACGTCAGTTCGGCTTGAATGCGTATTGAATTGTAATGAAATGAAATGGCAATTGAAATGAGTCCTACGTGTGCCGGGAGAGCGAGAGAGTGGTTGGGACTGCTATGTGTGTAGTAGTATTGGTGGTGTATTGTTATTGTTATGCTTTAGTGCCAACAAATAG